TTTCTAGTGTAGAGATGAAATCTCTTCTTTAGTAAAGATGAGCAAAGCCTGTGAATTTCCTGTGCATAAACTTCATGGTCACAGACTCACCTCACTAGGGATTGCTGGTATCCTATTACCCTGGTCTTTTGAACAGAAAAAACGATAATAATTTCAGGAAACCATCTGTTTGCCTACGATAAACCTTGTTTTCTCCATGAAGCTGGAATTGGAAACTTAACTCTGGTAAATTATTTTATAAATACTGCAGTAATAAGTGATGTGAGGGTTGCAGTTCCTTTAGGTTTCATTATATATTGCTACTGCTTAACATTTTAGTTGTTTTGCTAAAGCAAAAGGAAGTAAGAAATTAGGTCTATCTCCCAAGTCTTCCAGAAATATAATTGTAACATCTCTGTATCACAGAGTACCATAAACAGAACACAAACCAGTTTCTCTTCTAAAATTGTGGGTGCAGTTTTTTCTACACTTAAAAGCAGTACATTCCAAAGGAAATTATTCCCTCAAGAGAGAAATTCACACAACTAATGTACCCCCATGAAAAAAGAAAACAAACCCACCACGCAGCATTTGTGGCGATTATTCTAAGTCCAATCAAACAACTTTTGACTTCCTAGGGAGATACTGTTTCCAAATTGAACATGTACTTCTGTGCATTTATCTATTATTCACATTTTCTGTTGATAAACCTGAGTCATTGCACCTACCAGGAAAATAAAGCTCCTACAGAAGAGGTAATCACATAAGAATACCTTGAAATAATAACTGAACACCAAGGGCACCTTCGATAGAAAAGGCAGAATGGAATTACCTAAATTAAAATATTAGCATGGGACAGAGATTTCCTGCTATAGTTGAAGATAAACTTCATTCAATTCTTTCAGAGTATCTAAGTTATCTCTGGTTTACTGTTCAATTTAAAGTAAAATATTATTCCTCATGACCCTTTTGTTATTTGGCATCCCCAGACAGATGATGGGAGAAGAAATCTTAGTTTTATTTACATATCTTACAGCTTTTATCAATGCCATAGTCTTCCTTCTATTTAATTATTATCACCGAGTAATAAATTTTTCCACTAGAAAAGGGATTGTTTTGAAGCAGAACCAGTGTGAATACAGCCAGCAAATAAAACTCTTAATCTGTAGTTACATGAGAGTATTTGAAAAAAAAGTATTTGAAAAAGCTACAGAAACAGTCATAAAGTTTGGGAAACTGATGATTAAATACCCTCAGAAAGAAATTTGTTCTGCAAATACCATTTAAACAACATCTGAATGGCAAAATTCTGGGAGCTGCATATATCTTGACCCTTTAGAGAGTCAGACATCTGACCTCAGCATTCAAATGTGAGGTTACCATCAGAAGGTGCTTGCAAAAATATTCTGTGTTGATGGCTTGGTACCAGTGTGACTGGGAGACAGAGTTGGGGCAGAAGCAAAGGTTTCCCTGGGTCCTAAGAAGACCATTTTTCCAGTCTTCTGCCTGAGTTATAAGCACTAGACTTTGCAGTGCAGATAATTCCTTCTTGTATATTTCAGAAAGCATTTAAAGAAGATTAAAGAGAAGAGTATTTTGCTCTAATAGCTCCTGGAACTGGAGACCCACTGAATTTGAACTCAGAGGACTTCAAGCTGCTGTGGTTTGGGGCCCACTAAGTACGATGTGTCAAAACTGTCCCCAGCTATGCTGAGGAAAGAGATGTATATATTCATCTCCCTACATGGACATCACTACCCCCTGGCCAGAATCCTCCCCAGCACAGACTGCAGTTATTGAAAGGAATACCAACAATATGTCAGTTAACCAGACCAGTCTCCCAGCAGTGGGTAAGTCACAGCTCAGGAGGGATCCTGAACATCCCGAAAAAAAATGTAAGAGTGGTTCCTGCCACTTGCCAGCTTTTTAGCACAGGAGAAGGAAGTCTCACTCAGTGAGGACTGGCAAACCCCCAGAGTTAACACCTGTCAACAAAACAAAAGGCTGAAACTCATAATCCCCAACTGTCTGCATCTGTGTCATGGCCAAGAGTATATTAAAGAGAAAAGGAAAACTGAAATGAATGCTTCTGTGTCCTTGGTTGAACCCGACGCTCTTAGAAGTTTTTTTCCAGCCTAAACAATTCTATGATTCTTATCTAATAGTGAAGGGAGAAACTTCTGAGTTCTAAGTCCCTGCTATATAAGCCAAGTGTTCAGGTAAATGACTGCATGTCATAAAGAACTATTTTTGAGGGGATTTCTCTAAGAAAAGAAAAATTCTTTTCCTCATATTTAAACTCCTGCTAATTTTATATTTCTGATCTTGAGCTGATAGGAATTTGGTTTGGGGTTTTATTTGTTGGTTTTTTTTTGGTTTGGTTTGTCTTATTTTGATAAGAGCTTCAAAACTTACAATAGAACTTCCCATTTTCTCAATAACTCTCTGAGGAAAGGGGCTGCTCTTTATTGCTCCTTGTTGTGCTGAATGAGAAGATGAAATCTGCAGGGAGGAGAAACAGTTCAGAGAGATGAGGACAGAACAGCCAATGCCCAAGTGCCTTCCCATTCCTTGAGCTTCTGGGAACAAGAAGCTGTACAAGGTATTTGCTGACACTACACTTGGGAAAACAGCAGCCTTTACGAGGTGTGAGTTGTCAAAGCTCCTGCAATGTGGCCAAGTAAGAAATGCCAAAAGAAAAATCCATTACCAGAACACAGATGGATGCCCTGAGGCCTTCACAGCTCCTGTTAAGTTTTCTCCAGCCAGGTTCCACCCACAGCACCACAGTCATGGTGATCTACACATCTCCTACCTAATTTGATTTCACAGAAGCATCCCTTGCCTTGAAAAGAATCATCCCATGAGGACTGAACATTGATATCAAAAGCTTAATGCACCAACAAAAAAAGGCATTGGGAAGAGAACAAAGTGGAACTGTGAACTGAGTTTTTCTGACAAACCCCAAACACCACCACTACCTCATCCCACTCCCCAGGCTACACAAGTGACAATTTCTCAGCATTTTTTCACCAATCTTAGGAAAAATAAGACAGCATCAGGTAAGTTTTTCCAGAGGAATCAGTTTCATCTCCCACCAAAGGGACTCTTACACAATAGAGTAATCCATGTTATCTTTAGATTACCCAAACTCCTTTAACACAGTATAAATATTCAAAAAAATCTCACAGTGGTTACCACAGCAACAAAGTGTGCTGTGGTGCATTAACAACTCCATGGCTGCCAGCAGGATCTGCACTACAATTGGTCTCATTACTTAAGATTTTTCTCCCCATTCACCTAATGGAGATGTACCAGCTCACATAACTCTGTATCTTCCCATTGCATCAGCATAACCAGCAGACAGAAAACTCCTCTGCATGTACTGACCACACAGGTATCGGAGTGTGCCTGCAGCTCCACAGTCACCCCAAACCCTCCAGAGTCCACCTCCAGTCCAGCTGACTTGGCTAATTCCATATTAAACTCCAGCCCTACTGCAGTCACAATATGATCAGTCTCCACTGTTCCAAAATCTGAAGCTGTACCCACTAAACACTCTCCCTCATCCTTGCTCCCTGTATGTGACACAGAACTCCTCTCCTTGCTGTTCCACTCTGTATCACAGAGTCTGTGTTACGTTTGGATCATCTGAAAACCATAATTCTTTGGAGGTGGATATAGACAGCACTTGGAAGGATCTTCAGGCACAATCAGCACCTTTAATTGGTCATTAAACACATCAGCTGTACCAATGCCAGGCCAATGGCAAAGCAGATGACAGAGGCTCTGAAGCAAGCCCATTATTCTGCTCTAGAACAGGGCATCTCTGGCACCAGGGTTACTCCCTCATAACCTTCACTCATAAACTCTTCAGCCCAGCTGGATTTGGCAGCAGCAAAAGCAGCAGTTCCTCCACTCATCAGAAGGACAGAAATGAGAGATGGGACCTCAGGGCAAGTTCCTGGAGCTGCAGGTGACAGACTGGACAGCTTACTGCACATCCATCAGGGCAAATGGCCCAGTGCCAAAAACAGTGTCACCAGACACACACAGACTTCCTTTGGCAAATTGCCCTTTAAATACCTTCTACCCCAATAAACCAAGAACTATTCTACTGCTTCACTCAAAGCCAGTTCCCTGCATAAATCAAACTGTCAGATTTCAGCAAATTATTTTTCTAAGCTAGATCTGCACAGCTGAGCTCAATGGCAATTGCAGAGTTTTGGAGAGAGTCACAGCTTTTATCATATGACTTTAGCTCCTCTATTAGAGATCTGAATTTATGTGGTTTAAGATATTAAGAATAATAATGATCTATATAAAAAACCTGAAGCAATCCGTTAACAGGTTTCAAACCTTACTCTGAGCAGGTGCTACTTGTTCAGATGACTCTAGAAAAGCTTAATTTTATAAATCAATCTATTTAAGAATCTGCTTACGTTTGTACAGCTGGGTGAAGTGGTTGCAAAGTCCCACAAAGTTCATTTTCAGCTTTAGACAGACAATTTCAGCTTCCTATAAAATAAAGACATTCTCTGTGCAGTAGATTAAGGACAACAAAAACATACTTGGCCTCTGCTCTGTCCAAGCAATGCACTAGAGCTCCAACATTCAGGGTTCACAGTTTGCTCATCTAGCAAAAGGGACACAGACAAAAGAAATTAAAAGCACCAGAAGAGATATGGCCTGAGTATTATTCAATCAGAAAACAATTTTCAGAATTATTTAGAATATATGAACTACAAAGTGTTTGATGTAGCTGCATTTCTTATTTAAGAACACAAATCAACCTGTGAGCAAGAACACAACTCTGCATCAGACATTTCAGTGAAGAGTTTATGAGGAAGTAAAGTTCCCTAAATGGGCAAGGCATATTTTTCTGTAATTGTATTCTGAAAGAAGACCAACTTTTGAGTTCCTACCAGAATGCACTTCCTCCCACATGCAGATCCTGTTTCTAAGCAACATGCTGAACGTAGGAATAAAGCAGTCAGTTAAATATTACCATCAAGACTCACCTGCTGTGCCCTGAGAAGCAGCAGCTGTATGTCAAAGAGAAGACACTGACTTAATTCAGCAAAGCACAGGCTGTTAAGGACAGTGAGGTTAGGAAGCAGTGCTCACTCAAGGAGACCACAGGATTAACAAGCTCTCCACTATAAAAGTCTCCAGAAATGGAGACTTACCAAGACCTCTGCTCCAGCATACAGGCTCTCACTCTGCTCTGCAGCCTCAACCCTGATAAAGATGTTTTATCCTCTCCCTCAAACCAAACCAGTTTTCTGTGTTGTCTGCAAGATATTCTGTTGCTTTCCTAGAGAAGTGAGATAACACACCATCTTCTATGATCTAAAGCCACTGTTATTATGAAATATATCATCCTTTTGCTTAATAGTTCAGATGCTACAGTTAAAGATCTCATGAATTAAAGGAGACCTTCAATGAGCTACCTGTGGTCCACATACAACCTACAAAGCAACATCAGGAGCCTCACTAATTTTCTTGATTCCTCCTTCTAAATGTGGCCCAAGCATGACAGTTCTTGCATGTCCAGCCCACTACAAGGATGCAGCACAGCACAGATGATTTTGTGCTGGCAAGACCACGTTATCCCATCGGAATAACAGTGTCCCTGTCAGACTGCACAAGGGTAAAAGCCAAAAGCAGGGCTAACTCTTTCCTCCTTTTATCACAGGGTGACAAATGGCAGAAAGGAGCCCCAAGAGACGACCTACTTTGTTCTCAAGATTATCTGTAAAACAGAGCCTTGTTCTGGGTCATGGAAAGGCAGCACCATCTTCTCTGCTGGGCAGACACGAGCGCTCACGAACAGCAGATTGCCCTGAGAGGTGACAGTGCTGGGAAGGCACAGCTTAAGGTAATGTGTGTTCTCAGAAGGTCCCTGCTCCCTTTTGTTTTAGACATCTCAAAATTTTATGAGAAACAGACCCAAACATAGAACTAGCAGGTTAGTTCCCACCAGGAGACGATTCATTTTCTTGAGATCACAGGGTTATTGCTGTGACACGGCTGGTGAACAGCTCCTTGCTTTCTCTCACTGTTCTGTACACCTGGAGACAGACAAGGAGATATTTACCTTGTATATATCTTGAGGCACCATTCTGCTTCTATATCCCAAGAGATTTTGTCTATCCTGCTTGCTCAGAAAAGCCATCTGCTTTCAATTAAAGCACACGGGCCTAAAAACACCTCATTGAAAAAAATGCCCATAAAGGTATGTAGAGAGATAGATATATAATAGCTACAAGAAGAATGCACTCAGAAAACTATCTGCTCTGTATACAGTGTGATGAACCTCAGTTGTCTGGTTGCTTTCCATAAGCAAGCAAACAAGCTATTTGCAGATGTTTGGCTGTTTCAGCAGCAACCAGATACAACAAAGGAAATGCAGTCAAACCAACCCCTAGGCTGTTTGTAAGCTAAGCCACGGGACATGGCATGGCACAGGGAGGCAGAAAAGGCAGACAAATTCAAGAAAAAAGCAACCCCCAGGTTCAAAAGCCTCGAACAGCTGGACAGAACAAGTGAACAAGCAAACAAGCTCACTGGCTTTCTTTAGGCCAGATGTTACAGGCTCGTTGTTAGCAGAGGTAATACCATTGTCATCAGCAGTGCTTTCCAGCCACAGGAGGTGGCTGTTCTAGGCAATAGCCTTCAGATGAAGGAATCTCTGCCAGATTAATGCTGACCTTGTGCTTATTCTTTTGTTAAACTCAGATTACAGCATGATTATGAGAGAAATCCATGGCACAACCCAACCAAAGATGGTAGGCTCAGAGATATGGAATTTAGGCTAGTTGATTCTGGCTCAGTTGTTATTTTTTTGGTTGCTGTTGGGTTGTTTAAATGGTTACAAATACGTTAAAGGAATAGAAATAACTGCAATGAACCTAACCAAATATTGCATTGGCCAGTCTCTTATTAAAATGAGCCTTCTGTATTCCCATTCTGCAGCTGCAACAGTCATACAGAGAATTTGTTTTTCTATAACACAGTGCAATAACATCATGTATATATGTTTATATCATGCACTTCTTAAAACTAAAATTTATATGAATTTTATACAACTGAAATGAAATATTCTACCCAAACCTAAACCTATGCTATTTTGGTGCTGATCTGTCCAAGTTTCTTGAAGACTCTGACAAAAACACATTATTAAACATTATGCAAAGGAGAAATCTTGATTGTTACACTAATTTCTTCTATTCCAGCTAGGGAAACTGAAGAGGTTGGAAAAGTCAGAGACTTTGTGAGTAATATTTGATTTTTTCCCCTCTATATTTCAGTTCAAGAACACGGACTTCATTGACAAGTAATTAGAAGAGGAAGAAATAGGCAACCTGAGATCTTCAAGTGATGATACTCATTTGCAGGAAGTACTACTAAGCTCTGGCAACCTTGCTCAGAGACTTTTAACACCTTTCATTCCATGGAAAATTACAACTTTTCCAATTTTTTAGAGGGACAGCTCAAAAATGACATTTAGGGAGTGGAAAACCCTCAAGATTAATTTAAAAACCTGCTGGAAACTTCATTTTAAAAGGTTCTCAGCCACAGTAATGCCACTGAAGTCACTAATGAAACCATTATCAGGTAACTCAATAAATCCATAATAAGCTCACAACCTAAACAGTGTGGGTGGTTCCATCCCTCTTCCTTCCTTTAGTGAAGGGAAGCATCAGAACAGAAAAAAACCTACAGAGAACAGGAAAGGATGATCAAAGTTATGGAACAGCTCCCACACAAAAAGAAACTAAGTCAGTCAGACTCAGTTCTGAAAAACAGTACAGCCATGACCCTTTAAATTCTGGAGAATTATCTAATATAATGAAAAACTATACTGACATATACTGGGCAGTGAGGTGCAGTTACTGACTGAGAAGTCCCCTGAAACTTTCAAAATATGTTGCAGTTTAGTTACATTTGGTAACAGAAAATGAGACAAGCCTTGGGTTCAAATCTAAATTTGAGACTAGTGGATTTATTTCTCATTTATTTATCTCATTTCTATAATTACAGAGATTTGAGAAGCAAATACCTTTATATTGATAAGAACTGTACCATAAACTAAATAAGAGGGAAGTTGTATTAAGCTGCATTTAATATATTATTTAATGTATTCAGATCTTTTTTCCTGGCAGAAAAGCAAAATATCCATCAAAGTACAGTAGCAGCTGGCCACTGCACACTCCAATATCTAATTTCTCTAAGGAAAAAAATGTTGTATCTAACAAAAAATGTGTCTTTCTGCGTTTCCTTACGAACTATTCCAATTTTTTTTTACACAATCAACAGGAACAGAAATGCAAGGGAATAACAGAGGTGAACAGAACAGATGCTATGAGTCAGATCCTCAGCCTGAACAAATCAACACATTTGCCAAGAAATAATTTGTACCACTTAATAATCACGTCTCCATATCAAAGATATTTCTCCACGAAGCTCCTGAATGCCAAAGCAAGTCCAGAGAGCTCAGCAAAGGAGCATCCGAGCAAGTCTCGACCAAACACTTCCAAGGCAGCTCCTCCTCTGCCTGGTCCAGCTCAGCAGCAGCCTGGGCTCATTAGCCCTCCCCATGGGGCTGATCCCAGACCTCTGGCTCTCCTTGGAAGGGCTGCTCTTCCAGCAGCCCAGCCCAGCCCTGCCCCTGCAGGCACAGCCAGGATCTCTGGCACGATGTTCTAACTTAATGAAAGGGCTTGAGCGCCAGGGTGGTTTGTCCCCGACCAGGCACTTTTCAGGACTTCTCAATTACCCATAAAATTAACTTCTTTTGAAGGTTTGAGTGCTTTCAGGCCTCCTGTGAGCCCCTTCTCCTTTCTACTAAAGGGTCAGAAAAAGAAAGAACAAACAACTTTGTTGGCTCTTGGACCTGGAAGATCTTCCTGTGGTTCTGTCTTTTTAGTCTTTGGTGATAACCTTCATGATTCACTTGTGAGTAATAGTCACACTGGAACTGTGAAATGTGAAATGCCTGCTGTGAAATGCTGCAGTATTCTTTCTGGAAATAAAATCCAGAAAACGCAATGCTCTAATGTGAGATGCCGTGCCATCAGTTCTCACTCAAAGAGTCTACAGCAGTTCCAGATTACCAATGTCATAAATGTTTGTGTGTTACTCAAAGAAGAAAAACTAGAGGGAAAGAACACAGCACATAATTTTCATCAACCATACCATTTTTGTCTGACAGTGTATTTATTTTAACTGTCAAATTACGATATTTGTCACAACATATCGCCTTCTTCCCATCACCATATGCCAAGATAAATCTTCACATTCTCACTTGGATGTCATGACTGCTTCTGCATTTTGCACTGAATATTTCTCAAGTGTAGAACAATCTTTGAAGTACGACATTCCTCTACTAATAAATAACAAGAAACAAAGTATCTCTCATTATCATTAATTTCCACGTCAACTATTCTGTGACATTATGGCTATGGCAGGAACTGGTCCCTTCACCTATAATTAAATGCCATAAATATATCTGTACCTGTCATAAGTGTAAAGGACAAGACTTAAAGAGTGTAAGGGGGTAAAGTGCCACTTAATTAAATGGACAGTTTAAGTCCTACTTTCAAATTTTGACAGAATATGGAAGCCTCTGTCTCATTTCTTCTAACAAATATTTAAAAATCATGATTTAAGGAAGAACTGATGGTCTTTTTTCATTGGCTATAAATGCAAAGTGGGTGCCTATCCACACTCTTTAACACTGAAAACCAACTGTCCCGTTAGAAGTTTGCCATAGATCTTAGAGGACTATAAACTAGAATTTCACAGTGAAAAAAAACCCCACCCAAATAGTTTCTTATTCACAAAACCTTTATGTAGAATGCTTTGCTTTTAAGACAACTCTCAAAATTGTAAATGAGGCATGACCAAAATCCATTAAAATTCACAATGTAAAGAAGCTAATAGATTAAGGTGTTAAAAAAAATTAATCTATTTCCTTTAAAAGATAGCTGGAGTAAAGAAAGCGTCAATAGATAAAGTTCGTCTGATGCAGTAAAAGAGCTCAGCAAAAAAGAAAGTCTGAATAAACCCACAGATGCTAAATCATTTTTACATCAAATCCATAGTCACACAGAGTGTTTTTA